CCCGCCCTTCTCCTCCTCCTCCTCCTCCTCTTCCTCCTTCTTCTTCTTCATCTTCTTCATCTCCTTCTCCTTCTCCTTCTCCTTCTCCTTCTTCATCTTCATCTTCTTTTGTAGTATCTTGTCTGGTTTTGTTATCAGGGTAATGCTGTCTTCATAGAATGAATTTGGAAGGATTCCTTCCTGTTCTATTTTTAGAACACTTTGATTCTTATGGCCTATTTCTTTTATTAGAAGTACTTAAAAATTTTAAATTTGTGTATATTTTTCCCCAAGAGTAGGGACTAAAGCATTTAAATGAACAGAAATTAATGAGTTTTTTGTTACCTACTTCTAAGCCAAGATAAAGATACACTGACATCTATTATATTGACAAGGTAAGAAAGTAAACAGATATTAGTAATTTGATTAAAATCGATTAATAAGTCTGTGGTGTTGTAAGTATAGGCCCAAAATCTTATTTTATAATCAGGTGTCACCTATTACTATATCTCCAAATTAAAACAAAACCAAAAAAGGCACCTCAAAGCATCAAGTAAAAATGACTCCATTTACTTATTCTCTCAATTAATGAAGAAATGTAATTTAGAAAACTTTGATTTGTCTTAGTTACAATTTCCATTCAAGATACCAGCTAGAAAGAGAAAGAATTTTGCATCCAATCATTTTGGAACAAGAAGATATTATATAAAATGCTATCTGCTTGTTTTCAGCCTAATAAAGAAGAGAAATCTAAGAGAGAACAGATTACCTGCCAGAGGTAAAGGGTGAAGGATGCAAAAGGAACAAACTTGTACTTCTAAAATGAATAAATCCTGGGAATATAATGTGTAGCATGAGGACTATAGTTAATAATACTGCATTGTATATTTGAAAGGTGCTAAGACAGTAGATTATAAAAGTTCTCATCACAAGGAGAAAAAGTCTGTAACTCTAAGGTGACAGATGTTAACTAGACTTACTGTGATCACTGCACAATGCATATAAATATTGAATCATTATTTGTACACCTGAAACTAATGTAACTTTCTATATCAGTTATATCTCCATAAAAAAGAAGAGAAATCTAACCCCATAATAATAAAAACTCCCTTGTTTCATCCTGGAATAGCAAATTCAATATTTTCTTTAAAATACAACGGCTGCTTTTTGGTCATGTTTCCTTTTTCTCCTCTTTCTGGTAATCTTTCTTTGGAATAATAAATAACTCCATCCCGGAACTAGACAAGATTAGAGTCAATCTGGAATTTGAGTTCTTTTTTATTGGGCATAAAAAAAAATCTTAATCTATAGTTGTGCTAAATATCTGGGAAGGAATAAAACGCTCAGAGAAAAACCCACTGTTTCCAACAACCAATCATTACATGCTGTAAAGAAAATATCTCAAAGTGACTGACCTCATTTTTCTCTAACTCTCCTAGAGATTGTCTAACTTGGGTTCAAAGATGAATCTACATTATTAAAGTGGAGGAAAGTGGAGTTTTTTCTGAAGGATGATGTCCTGTCTCACAAGAAGGATCTCAAGAAAATCTATGATACGTTATTCATATCTTTTAAAATTTATATTTGTATTTTATTAAAATTATGAAATTTAATAAGCCATGTCCTCTTCAGATCTCCTTAATGGTTTTAATATTGTATGAAAAGCTATTTACTTCTGTACTATATATCACAGAATAATATTTCTGTATTATATGATATATTTTCCCTTCTTGGCCCATAAACAAAGTTTGAATCGAGAAAACATCATATCTAGATCCCTGGGTGTCCTGAGCCACGCATCTCCCCTCTAAGTTCCAGCAACTCTCAAATTCAATTCAATAAATATTATACATTTTATTGTACTTTTATTATATCCTATGCCCTGCCGCTAGTTTTTTTTTTTTTTCGTAGCACAGTGTATAAGCTATTGAGCTTATTCTAAATAGTTTAGTGTCTAGGCAGAAAAATGTGTATGCACCAAATATTACACAGATCAGCCGTAAAGAGTATTATCGTTGGTTTACAAATAAGAGGAAGCAAGAAAAGAGCATTAACTCAACTGCAGAGAACAATAGAGACCCCAGAAAGTGATAACTGACTTCACGCTGGACAGTCTAAAAATACACAAGGTCCAACATATAGACACTTTATAAATGAAGAGAAATTTTGTAATTTAAATTGAGAAATTAGCATTAGAAATGTTCTAGTCACTCTCCTGTGATCCCACTGAACACTGGATCTCTCTCTATTCCAGATGTTGCCTTGTAAAAGACTTGGCTCAAGATTTATCACTTGTAACAGCTACAGAGGGCCTTCTAGTGGGGTCACAACCATTATCAACTTTGAATTCTCAGTATTCTGGTGAGCTCAACATCTGTACATAAAGTTTCTTTTTTTTTTTTTTTTTTTTTTTTTTTACAAATAGTTTATTGTCAAATTAGTGTCTACATAACACTCAGTGCTCATCCCCAAAGTGCCCTCCTTCATGCCCATCCCCCCTCCCCCCCACATCCATCAGTCCTCAGTTTTTGTCAGCATTCAAGAGTCTCTCATGGTTTGCCTCTCTCCCTTTCCCCCACCATTTCCCCCCTTCTTCTCCCCCTTGGTCCTCCGTCAAGTTCCTCCTATCCTCCTATACGTGCAAATATATGGTATTTGTCCTTCTCTGCCTGACTTATTTCGCTCAGCATAACACCCTCAAGGTCCATCCATGTTGCTACACATGGCCAGATTTCATTGTTTCTCATTGCCATGTAGTATTCCATGGTATAGATAAACCACATCTTCTTGATCCATTCATCTCTTGATGGACACTTAGGCTCTTTCCATGTTTTAGCTATTGTGGAGAGTGCTGCTATGAACATTGGGGTACATGTGCTCCTATGCCTCAGCATTTCTGTATCCCTTGGGTAAATTCCTAGCAGTGCTATTGCTGGGTCATAAGGGAGTTCTATTGTTAGTTTCCTGAGGAACCTCCACACTGTTTTCCAGAGGGGCTTGTACATAAAGTTTCTTAAAGTAGTGAACAGACTAAATATTTCAGTAGTACTTTGCAGAAGGAAGCAAACTTTCTAATTTATGCCTTCTTACAAGTTGATTCTTTTGGATTTCAAGTCCCCAGATAGCCTAGGTCTGATATGGATGTTATTTTTTCCCAGGGGCTCCACTTGGTCTCATCTGTAGCCAGATCAGCTAAGGGAAGAGTGAGCACAATGTATATCCTTAGTGGTCATGGTTGTCATTTTTTCCAAGTTTTGAGATTTTACAGACAGATAACATGTGCGTGTACACACACACACACACACACACACACATATACACACACACACACACCCCTCTCTGTGATACACAAAGATGCTAGCATGGTCACACAACATACAATAATAGCAAAGGTTCAAATGGGGACCACAAAAATTAGCTGGATGCGAAATCTACTGAGCAAATATGGTCTGAAATAGGCAAAATGTGAACTCAAAATAGTCAAGACATTTATCCTGGACCCATGAGAAAGACCACCTCCTATCACTTCACAAGATACACCGGAATTTGCTTACCTTTCCAACCTTAGTACTTGGATTACTTATGTTTAGGTCTATTTATGCTTCCCAGAAAATTAGCCTCTTACCCTTACATGTCTTACTCTAAATGTTAACCCCTTCCTAAGTGTGATTTTCATTTTTACATTTTATTTTCCAATAATAGAAATGCCCCATTTCACAGTGGAAGGTAATGGAAGAATGGCATTCAAGTTCCTAAAAACTTTTTTGTAGTTACAGATGTTATAGCAAATATGTGATTTCCATTTAAGGGAGAAAGAATCCATAGCAGTCATCAGATAAATTATAAGTCATGATTAATATTTAAGAATTTAAGGAAATCCACTAGGTGAAACCAATAAAAATTCTACTTAATCCTGGCACAGTCTGACCCCCCGCAACCTCGTGAGTGTTTGATGAAATCTTGGCCTTACCAGGAAGCTTATTAGAAACGTAATTCTCAGGCCCTACCTAGACCTGTGAATCAGAATTTACATTTTAACATCCCCTCCCCCGTCCCCCCCATGGGATCTGTGTGCACCTTAAAGTTTTCGAAGCAGGGGTTAGCCAATCATAGAACTTTGTGGAAATTCCATGAATAGAAATTACTCCATCAATCTTTAATTTAGGTTGGGTTTCCTTTCAAAGATCTACAGACCCAAACGTTAATTATTTTCAATAGCTTGATTAAATTTACATTAAGATACATTCCTGGAATTTGGTGCCCTTCCTATATTTAATTGTGCATCCAATCCATTGATTCTGTGTGGTACAGACTGTCGGTCTCCTCCTTTCCACAGGAGAACCAGGCATGCGTGAGGGGAAAGTGATTTGAATTAGAGAAGTATCTGGAAGACTGACAAGGACTGTTTCTTGTACGGTGGGGATTTTAACTCACTATCACCATATTGCTTTCTTCTCAAAGTATTGCCTTAGGCTTCAACTAAGAGAGCCATTTCTGCAGAGGAAAATCCCTCTACTCCTGACAAGTTTCTGTGAATCATGTGCCAAATGAGTTAGATTAATTAGGCATTTCTTTGCTTGAGTTTCTTTCTCCCACCCTTGTTCATCTCCGTGTTTGTGACTTTAAGAAACTAAGGAGAGGTCACGTCCTATGCAACTGGAAATATGGCTGCAGAAGGTGTCCCCCACCAGATAACTAATGACCAGAGGAAAAGATGCCTGTCCTTTCCTAAACTTGGGTTTCATTAAGGTAAGTGACCTCTCCTTTGCCTCAGAAGAGATCGTCTCTTGCAGTGACCTTGTTTGCATGGGAGTGAGCCTACTTAATGGGTATCAATGGTAACATTGATGATAACAGTTAGGATGTGTGGGAAAAAAGAGAAAAAATGCTGTTTCAACAATTTAAGCAAAAAACCCCCAAAAAACCAGGTGGCCTACCCAAGCTGCATCCCAGACATCCTTCTTCGCATGGCATACACTCTCCGTAGTCTGGGTCTTGGACTTCACCTGTACAAGAAGAGGCAGAAACATAGTTCATTTTCAGTGAGTGGAGACACGTTAATTGCTGTGAAAACATATTGGCATGTAGTTTATTTTCTGCCCCTTTTCTTTTCTCAGAGACAACAAATTTTAATTCTTTTAGCTGTTTTATTTAGTTTTTACCTCCAAATGTCTAAGTAGCATGATCATGATGCTGCCTTGTGATTTTGTTCGTAGGCACTACCCATAGTGGTAAAAACTAGCTTTCTTTCGCCAATACTCCAACAAACATGGGCATACTTTCCATCCTCCCAAATTACAGATTTTGTGAGATTAATACTCAGCATTTATATTGTTATGATTATACTATTATTATTCATGTTTTCTGAACCGCTGAGTGAGGTTCTTTAAAAATATTTTTTTTAACAATTATTTATGTTTGAGAGACAGAGCTTGAGCAGGAGAGGGGCAGAAGGAGAAGGAGACACAGAATCTGAAGCAGGCTCCAGGCTCTGAGCTGTCAGCACAGAGCCTGACGCGGGGCTCAAACACACTAACCCTGAGATCATGACCTGAGCTGAAGTCAGATGCTCAACTGACTGAGCCACCCAGGTGCCCCGACATTAGGTTCTTAAATACCTTATCGTTTTCTCTTTTGCTAATATCTCTGTCTGGCTTCTTTGTTTTCTCAATATCTGTCCCTAATGCATCCTCAACTGTACCCTAAGCAGAAATCTTCTGGCTATTATGTTAGTATCTTTTTTACTGTCACCCTGAGGATTCCTTTCATCCCTCTCCTCTTTTGGATGAACTTTCTGGACCTTATATTTTCTCATTTCTTGTTCTATTTTTTTGGTGGAAGACACCTTCTACAAGTCATTTTCCCAAGAAAAGATGCATTGGAGGTAAAGTTTTTGAAAACTTGCATGATTGAAAATACTCATTTTTTTCTACCCTCACACATGACTCATGGCTTGACTGAATTTAAGCTTTAAAAGAGAAATAATGCATCTGGGTGGCTCAGTCAGTTAAGCATCCAACTTCGGCTCAGGTCATGATCTCACAATTCGTGAGTTCGAGCTCAGCGTCAGGCTCTGTGCAGACAGCTTGGAGCCTAGAGCCTGCTTTGGATTCTGTGTCTCCTCCTTTCTCTGCCCCTATCCTGCCCATGCTCTGTCTCTGTCTCTCAATAATAAATAAATGTTAAAAAAATAAAAGAGAAATAATTTTTTTCTCAAATGTTTCAAGTTTTTGTTCCATTTTTATATTTCAGTTTCTAGTATTGTTGAGAAGTTCAATGTCATTCTGATAGCCAGTCCTTTTTGTATGCTCTCCTTTGTTGTCTTCTAGAAGTTTTAAAGATTTTTTTTTTTTGCAGGAAAAAAAGCTCAGTTCTCCATATTCTTATAATCATGTATCTTGGTGTGTGTCTTTTTAAAATCCATTATGCTGAACATGCATAGGGCTTGTTCATTCTGGAAATTCATGCCCTTCAGTTCTGGGCTTTTTCAGAATTATTTCTTTGTTAATGTTCTCTATCCTGTTTTTGCTGTTTACTCTGAAAAACCTATACCATTTGGGTTTTTTTTTCCCTTTCAAGTTTTTATTTAAATTCTAGTTAGTTAACATGTAGTGTAATATTCGTTTAAGGAGTAGAGTTTAGTGATTTGTCACTTATATGTAACAGTGCTCATCACAATAAATGCTGCCCTTAATGTCCATCACTCCTCTAGCCCATCCCCCACCCTCCTCCCTCCATCAACCCTCAGTTTGTTGTCTATCATTAAGGGTCTCTTATGGGAAAACCTATTTGAATTCCTGGTTTGATACTTTATTTTTCTCCCCTCTTCTCCCCTTTTCTACTTTTACTTTTTCTTTTGGTTCTATTGTTTCAGTGACTTTTAAACTTTTATCTTTCTACCCCTCTTCTTCATTCTCATTCTTAAATTAAAAAAAAATCCAAGATCATGTTTTTGCTTTCTGAATATTCTTTTTTTAAATATATTTTTAAAATATGTGTTTCAAGTATATATTATAATTTGCTATCTGTATATACTGCAGTGATCACTCCCCCAAAATCCAGTTACCACCCATCATCCTACAATTGTCTGCTTTCAGCCCTATCTCCCACTCCCCAACCCCCTTCCCTCTGTTAAGTATTGATCTGTTCTCTGCATCTCTGAGATCATTTGTTTTGTTTCTTAGATTCTACATAAGAGGGAAATCATAGGGTATTTGTCTTTCTTCTGATGTCTTTCACTTAGCATAATACTCTCACGGTCCATCCATATTGTAAATGGCAAGATTTCATTCTTTTTAAAAATAGATCAACTTTATCCATTTGTCCGTTGATGAACATTTAGCTTGTTTCAGTTTCTCGGCTATTGTAAATAATGCCGCAATGAAGATAGAGATGCGTATATCTTTTCAAATTAGTGTTTTAGTATTTTTTTGGGTAAAAACCCAGTAGTGGAGTAGCTGGATCAAATTGTAGTTTATTTTTTATTTTTGAGGAATATGCATATGTTTTCCATAGTGACTACATCAGTTTACATTCCTACCACCAGTGTATGAGAGTTACCATTTCTCTGTATTTTCTCCAGCACCTGTCATTTCTTGTCTTTTTGATATAGCCATTCTAACAGGTGTGAGTGATATCTCAGAGTAGTTTTGATTTGTGTTTCCCTAAAAATTAGTGATGCTGAGCATCTTTTAATGTGCTCATTGGCCATGAATAAGAAAATTATTTATTTAAAATGACTCATTTATTTTTGAGAGAGCACAAGTGGGGAAGGGGCAGAGATAGGGGACAGAGGATCTGAAGTGGGTTGTGCACTGACAGCAGTGGGCTTGATGTGGGGTTTGAACTCACCAACTGTGAGATCATGCCCTGAGCTGAAGTTGAACATTCAGCCACTGAGCCACCCAGGCACGCCCACACTTTGTCTTTTTAAATCAGCCTTTCTAAATCCTTTTTTTAAAGTTTTAAAGCCTATACTGCATTAGTAAATATAAGCAGAAAAAGGAATGAGTGTCTTAATTATTCTAGAAACATCTTAGACCTCTTTTCGGCATTAGACCAGGCATAATTCTTATATAGAGCAGAGAAAGTCCGTAGCATTTTTACATGGAAAGAAAACAACAACACTATAAGTCCTGTTTTTAAATCTCTCTCTTCCCATGTATGATAAGGAATTGGGGAATTTCAGTAACACATGATTCATAGAACATTTAATATTTTCGCGTCTCTTTCTGGAGGCTTATTCTCATTGGCTTCTCACAGCAGCCATCTTGGTGCTACGCTCACGCTTTCACACATGGAGAAAACAAGGCATAGAGCATTTGATTCTGCACAGGGTCCCATGACAAGTAACTGGGAAGGAGAACATTGGTTGTCAGGACTTTTAGATTCTAACCTGATTTTCTCTCCATTGTACCCTGCCCACCAACTCTCAATTCAAGGTCAATTTCTCTGTGAATAGCTGCATTCCTGTGTCTCTGGAGTGTGTCTCGGGAGACCCAGAGAAAGGTGAGTGTGGGACGGGGGTGGGGGGGGCGGGGGAGAGGAGCAGTCATCACCGTCCCCACAGCACACGGAGTCCCATAAAGTCGTCCCAGGTGCCAACATGAAAGTCTAGAAGACTATTTGAACGTCTGGGACTCCCAGGGGTGTATAGCTCCACATGCTACCTCCTGGTATAAGACATTGGCTCAGAGCGGACTTACCTTGTCCACACACCAACTTCTGACACGTGTGGTTGGTGGGCACCAGGAAGTAGCCTCCCACGCATCGGGTACAGATGTGTGCGTCATGGCAAAGCTCACAGTGATCGGGGCAAGGCCGGCAGGCATGCCCCTCGGCAGGGTAGTGGCCTGCCGGGCAGCTCTCCCAACACTCCCCCAGATACAGGAAGCGATCCCGGCCGTGCTTATCTGAACAGATGGAGGGGCAACAAAAAGAAGGAAAATGTATAAAATTAACCTGAAGCTAATGTAACCTAAGGTATTTTATTTAAAAAAAAAAAAAATGATGTAACTAAGTGTTTAGGCTCCTAGGGGATCAGGAGTCTAGAATTCATTTAATGAAAAGTACACTATCTATATATTTTCAGTTGAAAAGTTCTCATTGTGGGGAATAATTTTTCAATATTTTGTATATTTGAGTGATCAGGGTCTACTTTCTGGGATGTCGCTGCAAAAGCCGAAATCACAGTCTGTGCATAACTATGAGTTAGAATGTGTTGAATTTTCCCAAGGGCCCCTTCTGGTATCTCTGGAAGCCCTCAGACTTACGGGCTATAGAGATCCTCTGACCATAAATACATGCTTACTGGTAGAACCATTTTTGGAAGACTGTAGTCTTTTAGAATGGTTCTGAATTCCATTATCAAAATCACATGCTTGTGTTAACTGTCTGAAGTCTGAATTTTTGCAGAGTTGACAACTCTGATGACGGTGTATTGAGTGCTAGATCCAGCACACCTTTTTGATTCCTTAAATGGATTTTTGAAAGTGCTGAGCTTCTGTCAACATTGGAGTCTACATGGAGAGAATTACCGGTATGTCTAGTATAAGACTATGGGAATTTGGTTTTGGAGGGAATAGAGAATTCTAACCAAGTATAAGTTCATAATTAATGAAAAAGCATTATAATAAGTTTGTATATATGTATAAAACAAAATTAATATAGATGCACCTAGAGGTCTCCTACCCTCACCCTACCGGAATCTTGTTTGTGTTGAGTGTGTTTAAGGCATCCATCTTCCCTAAATCACGTCTTCCATATGCTCCTGCCTCCTGCCTGTGTTTCCCAAAATAACCAGAGTCTAGGGTTCACTTGTGATATACCACATGAAGGTCTAAAACCATTGACCTTCAAGGTGCGAGGCTGTGGAATCTGTGGGTTAAGATAGCACTTGACCCCATGTTGCACATGCAGGATCTTAACATCAGCATAAGAGGCTGAACCATGTGACATTGCAAACGTTCAACTATTTTTGTGTCCGTAAACTTGTCACTCTCAAATGATCTAACCTACTGTTCTGTACTTAATTAAATCCCTAGTTCAAATCCAATTTAAAAATCACACCCTTGGTTTATAGGCTCAGAAGCTACCTCTTTGCTGTTTGTGATTTCCTGCCAGGAGTCTTCTGGCTCCTATGGGACAAAGAAGATAGAGAGAATTTCCATAGGGGTGGGGCAAAAAAGTTTCTGCCCCCTACAACGTTGAGTTGGAGGAACAGTATCCTTTAAGGGAAGGAGAGTGTTTGGGAGAATGTCACGTGTATTTGGTGATTCTACAGCTATCTGGTAAAACATGGAATCATGAGACCATAAAAGAGTCAAACTTCCAAGCCATGTTCTTCACAGACACTTTATGAAACCCTAGCAAACCCCATTTCCACTAAGATTCATTCAGAAAAGATCCTATTTTTTAGGGGGCCAAACTTCTCAGATATAGGCAGGAAGATTTGAAGAGAACAGTGAGATGCCACTCCCCCCTCCATTCAGCAATTGCTATACATCCCCTACATCCTCATGCCACGTCACCCCAGGATCCAGGGGCTTGGCGACAGCCTGGCATATAGTGAATTCTAAATACATATTTGTTGAATGAATGAATGAGTGGCTAAGTGCATTCATATTTAGCAATATTGCTACTTTACATATCCATCTGGATCAGCAATCATCAAACAATGGTGAGTTCAGGGATGCCTGGATGGTTCAGTTGGTTAAGCATCTGACTTCGACTCAGGTCATGATCTCATAGTTTGTGAGTTCGAGCCCCGCGTTGGGCTCTGTGCTGACAGCTCACAGCCTGGAGCCTGCTTTGGATTCTGTCTCCCTCTCTGCCCCTCCCCTCCTCACACTCTACCTCTCAAAAGTAAATAAACGTTAAAAAAATTTTTTTTAAATGATGGGTTCAGATATTGGAAGAAATGTTCTCCAATCCCATCTGTACTATTCAGACATGGCTTTATTATTCGAACCACTTTGGGTATTGCAATTTGAGTTTAAAAAACAGATTTGGATGGTCTTGGTATTTAAAATACCTGGACCCTGTAAAGGAGTTAACACAGATGCCTTGATCATGGGCAGCTTTCCCCACAGGTTTGGTCCAGGAAGACACCAAGGTTTGCTCACTTTCTAATAGCCTTCATAGTATGGGAGCTCATTTAGCTTTGGCTGATAATTTGGATATCCCATTGCTTTTAATACCATGCATAAATGATTGGCAACTTGCCCAGACTCTGAGAATTTAAATTATTGTGATGATATATTAGAGAAGCTGGTGCTAATAGTAGAAGGGATGATATGTTTGCTGGGTGCTACACCTCTCATGTGATAATATAAGACAAGATTCAATGTGCAAGAGACTCTGAGAGAGGTTCTGATTGGCTTTCCTTCACGCTTAAGAGCAACTCGTCGTCTCCAGAACATCTCTTATGGCTAATTTTGTTACAAGAGCAGATAGACCAGTGGGAAGATATCCTGTGTCTTCAGGAAGAAAGAAAGGTTGAAGGTGGAAGGCATGAGGGGGAAAAAGGATTGCTGGAAAGGAAGAAAGAAAGGCTGAGGGACTCTGAAAATAAACTGTATGAAGTTCGTTTTAACATGTTTCTTACTGTAGCGGCTGGGAGGGGGGATGTTGAATTTAGCTTTGGGTTCAGTTTGGTAGAGAGCAAATCTGGAAAAGAACTTAGAGCGAATCTTCACCAACAGAGCTGAGCTGGAGATTGACATTTCCAAAAGGATTTAGACGTAAATCTTAACAAAATTCCAGCTGAACAAAGGTGGGATTTCTATAGCCTGATGGGAAATGCTGATGGTGTGTAGGTGGGGCTCCCTAGTCAGAGGGTTTCAGCCTTTTATTAAAGCCTTTTGATCTGGAACTGCATCCATTCAGTCATCCCTTGTTTCTAGCACTGTCTCACATGCCGGCTGTGCTAATACAAGTATGAGGAACATCGTGCTCTTTTTAACAGGCAAGAACCCTGCTACTCAGACCTTGCTCAACAATACCCTCTCTGGCAAAGCTTTTTTGCTTCACTATAGTGGAAAGTGATGTTTCTTCTCTGACTTGTGGTAGGATTCCTTCCTTCATCTGGTCTTTCATAGTTTCTGGTTTTATAATACATAAGCACAAACCCCTCCGTTAAACAGTAAACTCCTTGAAGGCAAGCGTCATAAATCATTTATTGTATTTTCCATGGCACCTATGCGTAGCAACATGTAACTGTGACAGGTACAGTGCAGTTTTGCGAGGATATGGAGTAAACAGACTTTTAAACAAAAAATGCAGAGGTAACATCAAAGCGTTTGATGTGCGGATTGGCCCACGTAATTATAGGATGCTTAAAACATTTGAGACATTTGTTTGGTATTCAAGTGAATCCTTAATTTTGAACAATGCATAAAGATTTAGTATGTTTAAAGTGTGAAAGGGATTTTAGATGCTGTCTTGTCTATGTGTCCCCTCTCCTTTTTTTTTTTTTTTTTTTTTTTACAAACAAGGAGAGACTTAAAGTGGTGAAGAGACTGGTGTAATATCTTCTAGTTCACTAATAACAAAGTGGGAAATAGGTACCCACATACTTCTTATGTGCCCAGCCCTGTTTTAAGTAATTTATTTCATCTCACTTAATCTTATTTCATTTTCATGATAACCTTAAAAGTAGAAAATCTTTATCACCATCTTACAGATGAGGAAGGAAACAGAAAGAGCAGCCTCATGAGGTAATTTGACATGGATCCACTTTGTTTACATAAGAAACACAAAGAAATAATTTTAAGTTACACTAAGAAATGTGTTATCTCCCATTTTTCTGCAAATGCGTGGGACTCTCAATTTGTTTTTCCTTTTCCTTGGTTTTATTACAAGCAAGAATCAAGATGAATAATTCTCTTTTGCCAGAACAAAACAAAAACAGAAGCAAAAACAAAAACCTGGGTTTTTCTTTGAAATTTCTCAATTAAAAAAAATTACTGATTAATTTTGAGAGAGAGAAAGAACAGGAGGGGCAGAGAGAGAGGGAGAGGGAGAAAGAATCTCAAGAGGGCTCCACACTGTGGCAGCACAGAGCCCTATGCAGGGCTCAAACTCATGACCCGTGAGATCATGACCTGAGCAGAAACCATAAGTCAGACGCTTAACTGACTGAACCACCCAGGTGCCCCTGAAATTTCCCAATTCTTAAATTTGGCTTAAATGTTAAATGTATCATGGGAGTCAAATAAAATATAAACCTGACTCATGGGAGGTCAACGTTGGGGGCAGGCATATGAGGGAAGTCAAGGGTCAAACTGCAGAGGACCTTTGGGATCGTGGAATATAATTCAATGACTGCAGAGACTTGGACTTTTGAAGGTGGGACACAAAAAGTTCTATTTTTGTGTTGAAACCATTCCTTTGTTTCTGCAGTCAGGCTCTGACAACTCTAAGTGGCGTAGCTCAGGGCTGAGGAGACCTTGACATACCCTCTATTTGAATATTTCTCTTAAAGACTCACTGTGTCCTCCTTAACATCCTAGCTTTTCACTTTTACCTCAACAAATCTTAGCCTCACTGGCTGTCTCATGTCTGACATCATGTCCACATGACCTTTCTTTTTTCTTCTCTGGAAAGACACCTCTTAGCTTCTCTCTCATCTCCTTAGGGGCAGTGAGTCTGTGTCTACAGTAATGTGAACTCATTTCCTGACAAGAAGCAGAAGCTCCAAGGTTATACACACTCTCCAATGAAGAGCTGCCTCATAGCCCCTTGTCCCTGGAGATGAAGCTTCTGAGTCACACCAAATTATGGCCAGTGGGAGAACAGGTTTGAAGAAAGGAAGAGGAGAACGGCCAGGTTTCCTCACCTGCTCCACAGGAAGTGCAGTTGGAAGGCTCATTCCCTTGGCATTCTTGGCAGGTGTAATGGCATAGATGGCATTGGTTCTGAAATTCAAATTTCCCTGAGGGACATTTGAAAACGCAGCGGCCATTGTCAAAAATCCTAGAGGAAGAGCAAATTTCAGAGTTTGTAAGGGCGTCTTTCTGGAATGGATGTATTAGAACATGTGGTGTTCATGTTTCACTGCACAGACTTCGTTTCATCATTCCAGAAACCAGGGAGATGCCTGGGTCTGATCATCTTAGAACATGTGGAATATTAGTCATGTACCCATCCTTGGCCCAAGGTTTGGACCCAACAGCAGGCATCCCAGAAACTGGCTCAGGACGTAATTGTGATTCTGGTTCCAAATAAGCTAACCAGTGCCTGCAGGGATTACACCCATCTTGTGGGCCCCAGCCAAACACAGTCAACAGTCAGATGGAGGTCTTTAAACTTTCAAGATGCTAAATAGGCCTCTGAGTCCAGAGACCTTGGAGAAAATCTTCTTCACTGAGTTATCACCATGCCCACACTTTACAGGGGAAATGCCAACATCAAGGACTCTCAAAGGGTAGAATGAAACCATGTCCTGTAGCTTCCATGCTACTTATAAACTTGGCCTCTGGCAAGTAATCAGTAAACTGATTTTGACGGTCATTTTTGCAAGCGCTTCTTGAGGTATAAAGCACCATTTTTAAAAATCTTGGTTTGCAAATACTTACAAGGACCCCACAGATAAGATGGCTTGGGGGTTTATAAAACTTTTGATTTTATACACATACAATCCATATCATAATATTTTCATCATTTTGCTTCTTTTCTTCCTTTGCAAAGTAATTCCAGGAGCAAATGGGATTAAGTAAGTTGTATCCAAGAACTTTGCTCATTCAAATATGAAATGCTCACCATGTGCAGGAGTCTGATAGGAGGCGTGAGCTGCAGGCACCACCCCTAGGTTTCTAATTCAGTTAAGTCTTTGGGGGAGGGAGCTGAGAATTTGGTTTTTTTCAGTTTCTGGGTGATGCTCTTGCTGGTGTAGGGACACTTTTTGAGAGCCACTGTTCTCCCCTCTGCTCACTGAGAGTATGGGTTGCTGTGAAATCTGTTAAGTGATTCCTAAGTAACACAGGCTTTGCCAAAGTGGGTCCATTACAGTTTCCTTCCAGTAGTTGTTATTGTTATCAGTTGTGAGGTTAACTGAGCATGTAGCCTGCATGTGCCCCTGAGGGTATGATGTTGGCATCCAGACCTGAGAGAGTGGAAGGCCAGTCAGCAAAGGTAGGGCTTCTTTCTGTCTGTACCGCCTCCTTCCACCCAAGCTGGACATCCCATCGAAGGTCAGGTATAGGCCTGGGGTGCCCTGGCTTGGCTGAATCCCACCATTTCCTGCTAGAGGCAGACCTGAACTGGGGATTGGCCATTTCAGTCACAGGTTGGGAGGAAGTTAGAATAGGAGCAAGTCAACCTGACCTAGCATGTTGCTTGCGATCTTCCATCTTGTCACCATACCCTAAAAGTTCCTGTCATTTGCATCCATTGAGAATAGTGGGATTAAAGCCTACATTGTGAGAGGGAAAGCCACCTTGGTCTTTCATTCTGTGCCTTCCAGGTTCTGCCACCATACCCAGCACTACTGGAGTGAACCATCCTTTTGGCCATTGCAAAGCCTTGGTCCCAGCCCTAAACAGACACATATGCACATCTGGTCATCAAACCAGATCCCCTGCGCCGTGGCGTATAATGAGAAGGCTGTGCTTCCAGCCCAGACTCTTAGTTGATGGCACTAATGCCAACTGAGAATATCCCAGCCCCACCCTGACTCTGGTTTCTGAGTTAGATTTTTCAAGGAATAATTTGTATGGGACTACAAATTAAAAAAACCCAGAAAACCCAAAAACCTCCTTTTAAGAAAAACTGTGTAAGATCTTTCTGAGGTTTGTAAATGAGGAAGCTGCTAGAAGCTCTTCTGTAAGGGAGAATAGGGACATTTATTTGTGAGGATTCTTTTTTTTTCTTTCCTAAATTCAGTTGAAAAAGGAATGAAAAGTATATCATCATCTTTGTCTTTTATGGAAAGAGATGACGGATTTGTTTAGAGGGAAATCATTTCTCTTGGGAGAGGTGATCTAATACTCTCAATGATGGGAACCATTTAGAAGCATCCAGAAAGTGGGGGTGGTGGACCGGGGAGTGAAGCCGATGGTGTAATACTTTTGTGTTTATGTATGGATGAGGCTGCGTTTCTTACTTGAGTACTTACTTGATTTTAGGAAAATGCCAAGCACATAATTGTGCTTTAAGATACCTGCCTTCACTATTTACTGTAAGGAAAGCATAGGTGATATACAATTATAAATATGGAACGTAACTGTATCTAGTGATCTGAAAAGAGAAGGAGAACAGTCATGCTTAGGTAAAGGCACTGAATTACATCATCCCCTGCATCCCTATCCCCATCAAGGAAAATGGCTAAGGAGCTTGAGAAAAGTACCATTTTAAGTGGCACCTTTTCCATGGACACCAGCAAATCTTCCCTAATGGCGGGGAATAGATACCTTGCTCCGGGCTCCATGGGGCTGATGATAATTTCCTTTAAAGCCAACTCGAGCCATCTCTAGGACAGCCAGTTATCCAATCTGTGGACTTCTGAGAGAGTCAGCAGGCTAATCTCTGCAGGGGAGACATTTCTTGCCCAAATCACGCATGGTCTTAGCCTTTTCACAAGCAGCGAACCATTACAGGTCCAATGGCACTTATGGAAAGGAAGAAGTTGGCAAAAGCGAGTGCTAAAGAGCCGGGCAGAGGTAATGGGCTCATTCTCGGCACTATATTTTCTAGACATCCAAAGTGTGTGCGTGCGTGTGTGTGTGTGTGTGTGTGTGTGTGTGTGTCTGATGTGAATTGGAACAGAAGAGGCAGCAAGTCACGGTTAACCAATCCTCTGCTGATTATTGGTTTGGCCTAAATAAGCTATCACAAGGGCACTTACTATACACTCTCGGTTCTTTAACATTAAAGCAATGAAATCTGGCAAAAAAACAAAAGTCTTTCTTTACCCCTGAATCCATTGAAACAGATCAAATGAAACATTTGAGGGTGGGTCAGAACAGAGGTAACGTTTAATGCTTTTCATGAGTTCATCGCGTCTGTAACTCCTTCAGTTCTGGTTTGGGCAGCCATGAAGACCATGGCCTTGCAAGGCTATGTGTGTTAGACAGCAGTGCCAGAGGGAGCACCTGCTTCCTCCAAATTTTCAATCGTCTCGAAGGAGCTAAGCCCAGGCATTTCCGGAAATGTAAAGAGAGAACTAGAATATGAAGAGAGGACTTCCTAAGGTTTGACTTCCTGTAAAATAACTTCAGGGTTACATTATTTTTTAAAATTGTATTAAGGAAAAAAGTAAACACATATAAAATAAACATATATCCAAGACATAACAGTACCCTTTCCTCTGTAGTCACCTCTTAGTCTCAGTACATGGCCAATCTTTATATTCCCATCAATTTACTTCCCTCCCACATTATTTTGAAGCAGACTCATATTGAAATATTAACACTCTTCTCCTAAATAAAAACTCCTTTAAGGATGACCTTTTTTTTTCTACCAGGACTAGAGATACCCAAAGCTTAAGATGAGGAAGAAACTCAGACAAACCAGCTGTCCTGGTTATTCTGTTTGTCTCCTTACCCCTAACCCTTGCCTCAGATCCATTTTTTTGGTCATTCTCTGTCCTCTGTGACCTGGAAGTGTTCCTGCTAGAAACTACCTCCCTCAGTTCAGTTCCCTCACTTATAAGTGATGTTTCCCATTGGCTTCCAGTTAGTTTCAGACAAGGGAAAACACCAGCAGGAGATTTGAGGGGGAAGAGGAGAGAGAGATTGGGGGTATTTATTCTCCCTGGAGCTGCAATTCTGCTTTCTCTCTCCATGGTTCTGGAGTGGCTTTGTCCTCTACAACTCCATTTTCTATCAGGCATCCCCCCTTCCAGGATCGCAGCTGTTGCTTCAGGCCTAGGAGGTTAAAGTTGTCCTGCTATTGCTTGTCCCTGAGTGCTTTCCCATCCTTGAATTTGACCTCCTGAGCTACCTGTAAGAATTCATCGGCCTTGCATCTAACTCAGAGCTGGACGTAAAGCAGGTGCTCAAGACCACCTTGAATAGATCTGATTCCACTCAGGAAAATGCTTTGGAAAGTACTCAAGAAAAATACTTTGCTGCCCTTTTGAGAATGATTAAGTCAACACCACGTCTTTCAAAATAGCTTTTTTTTTTCTCTCTCTCTCTTCATCTTCTCATCCTTGTTCTAGGAAAAGGCAGATGGAAACGAGTCAGGTAGTTCATTGCCATGACATGATGGCCTTTCTTGGACCTATTTGCAAGGTATTTTCATCAAGGAGGAGACATGAGCAAAATGGAGTGCTCAGGGAGATGAGAAAATTTTCTCCCTGGGAAACAAGATTTCCTGAAGACACCTTAGTTCAAGATCCATGCACCTGCTCTTCTTCCTCCAAAAGCTAAATCTTGGGCTGCTGAAGACAGCTAAACTACCCCAGTGGCCCTGGAGCTATATCTCTGATCTCTGTAGTTTCAATGTCTTAAATGGCTACTTAGGATAGTAGAGAGTTTTTCTCACTTTGGATGAGTCTCTGACAATCATGACTTCTGCAGTATACAATGGATGTTGGTAACTGCCTTAGTAAACAAATGCTAGTAAGTTCCCTTCGTTCAAAGATGACTAAACATGAGTGGGATTTGATTGTTGATGCGGTGATGGTTAGCAGAAACAGGCTCATTTTCAGAATGATGTCTCTACCTAAGAGTATGTCTTCAAACTGCTTTGAAGCAAATCCAGTATTTAGAGGCATAGCTCTCTTAAGGAGACATTTGGAAAATGTCACCACAGTTAGCATTGAAAATTCTTAAAACTGTTCTTTTGTGTCTATTTCCTTTCCTCCCTCCATCTCTCCCTTCCTTCTTTCTCTTCCTGAGAGGGCTATTTGGCAAGCCAAGCCCATGATATTGATGACTCACTTTATCAAATTCAATTCAAGACACATTTCTTGAATTGCTACTATGTGTTGATCACTATGGGGGGGAAGAGGGAGACAAATACACCACAGTTCCCTCTCAGGATATTGTAGTCCTGAGGCAAAATGAAATGGCTATTGTACAAAGAGGGAATGTCCATCCTAGGGATTGACCAGATGCTGGAACAGCCTCATCATACTCGTCTGGAGAGAGACTACTTCCTATGTGTTTAGCAGAGCAGTGAGTGGGCTGTCCATTCATTCAGTTGGCCAACATGTTAAGTGCTCCAATCAGAGGAGGGTGGACCAAAAATACAACAGGCTTCCAACTCTCTACACTAGAAATTCCCAGTGTGTTAGGAGAGATTCCTGTCCCATTCAAATACTTGTTATTTCCTCATCCATTCAGCTACCAAACATTTATTGAGTGCCTGCTATTTTCCTTGCAGTGTGATAGGTAACGGAGATACAAAGGTGAGTATTTCAAGGGGCTGAGGGAAATAGAGCCCATATGTAGAGATATAGAGATTTGTAAGTTAATGTTTTAAAATGTCACAGGTGCTCTTATGGACGATTATACAGAGCACAAGAAAATATAAAGAGGAGGAGGTTACTTCTGTGAAGAGGTCAAAATACCTTCTGTTCTGTGACTCTAGAAACATGAGTAGATATGTGATCAGCAGATGGAGATGATCAGTGTGCAGAGGGGATGCAGTTGCAGGCATCAAAGGCACCATCATCTTCATTGATGAAAGCCTGATTCTTGCCGGGGGTATAGGACATCATGGAGAGAAGATGCTACAGAGGAGGCCTGTTGGCCAGACCATGGAGAGTTTTGATGTCATGGAAAGGTGTTTGGTTCTTTTTCCTGCAGGCCCAAGGGGGTGTCTTTAAGGTCGTAAGCACATCCTCTCTCCAACCTGCCACCCATGAGCTCCCAACCGCAGGAGATATTGAAAGGCTACTCACCTTGTGACGGGGCAGCCAGTGCAGTCTTCCTGAGTGGGCCCCCGGCACTTGGCACATGAGGCTTCACAGTTCTGGCAGTGGCCATGCTCATCAATGTATTCTCCTAGGGAACAAAATCTAATTGTTTACCTCATTTCTGCATGGCGATGCTGCCTGGCCTGTCGGTCTGAGAGCAGCCAGATCTCTCTGCCTGAACGCAATGGAAACAACACAGAGAGGAGACCTTGAATGGCTTCAGTTGCCGGCCCTAAACCCTGACCTTATAATAACAACTCTCCTCTCCCAAGGGCCTCGGAATTTGGAACCTCAAAAAGTTATGAGGCAATGACATAATTTTGGATCTAGTCAACATGTGTTACAGATTTAATAAGTACAGAGAGGCCAAGGGGGGCTTCTTATAGGACCCCTTGACTGAGCTCCTTCTGGCTTTCCTGTTAATGGCTGAGAATTCCTGGACCCTAGAGACCCCACTGCAGCCTTGATTCAAATCAAGCAGCAAGCAAGACCCACCCACAACTCTGGGGTTATTGTGGTAACTAGTCAAGAAGGGGAGTCCAAGCTTGGCTACCACTTGACAGTTGTGAGTTGCATCTCACCCTGAAAGAGTAACAATGAAGAGATAGCCTCGGAATTCTTCACTTAATTGGAAAGTGTCTTTCCCAAGGAAAAACACATAGGAGGCCTTTCCACAGAAGCACATCCAGCTTCACAAACTTCTTGTGAACATTTAAGAAATTACTCTCCTAGCAAAGATGGTGGAGATAGGCCAGCCTCGTTGAACATGATAATCCAGTGATAAATCAATGATCGGTCTCATTGTACTCAACCCACTACCCCCGCTACACAATGTCTCTCCTCTCCCTGTCCTAAAAGAAATTGACAAGTTTCTTTGGTCTCATCCAAAGAACCACTGTGTACAGTTTGGAAACCAATCACGTGCAGAAAATATAGTTTCAGATTTCAGAAGAATCACCCTGTATGACTGAACATTGTCAATCCGAGAACCAGCCAGAATACTGAGGTAGCAGTTCCTCATGTGTGGTTTAACCAAGTGGTCTTACTGTAAGTCTAAGATTTGTTACCTGATTCATTGTAGTTGCTTTGAACCCTGGAAACATAGACTTGACTAGTGAGAAATTGAAGGAAGTCCACCCCTCTGTGTTGACCCATGGCTTTACTGAACCAGTACAGTTGGGTGAGGTAATCTTCTATATATATATCTTTCCCTTGTACTAAACCACAAAAATGAAAATGAAGTGGCAGGGAGAGTTTGTCTTTATATACAAAGTCTTTGATGTAGAGTTGTTCTGTTAGTTTTGTTAACTAAAGCGGGAAAGAACATATTCACAGCAATGCAATTATCTAATAGCAGCACATCCTGTACACCCAGACTCTGTTCTTTGTTGCTTGGTTGTTGCCAAGGAATCTGATATATAACTTTTAGAATGGAACCATAATTTTCAGCTCAGGAGTGACTCCCAGGAGCCCAATACCCAAAAGAGTGAGTGAGCAGGGGCAAAGAATACAAATGTGCAAGTTGTTCACTGCATAAGGTGTCTGTCCCAGTGGTCATGTGGAGGCAGAAATCTAGACCATGTTCATCTTGCCAAGCCATGCACTCCAGTGTTGGCTGTCTCTGCCTCTGCCCCTGTAGGTGACACCTTTTACTAATTCACACAAAGGTATTAGACTGGATGGATTGCATTCTTGGCAATCAGAAAACTTGGTTTCCAAGGCAGAAAAAGGCTGGGACTTCTGTCTAGTAGGAGTGGGTGATTTCAAGTTGAGACTGTCTCATTCAATATAGGTATCCTGTTTCTATGGCCTTTTATGTATTCAGGCTCCCCATTCTACCTAATTATTACCCTTGCTGTAATCTCTTCCACTTTTGTCACAGTGTGACTTTTGCTACAACCAATTGAGCAGTGATTATCTGTCCAGGAACTAGCAAGATGAAGAGCAGGAGATCTAAGGCAGACCTGGTAGGAAGAAGTAGATCTCGCCTACATTGCCAGTGCAAATGATTTATGTTTACGGAGTTGGGTGGTAGCTATGTATCTTTCAAAAGGTATGTGCTGAGTGAAAGAGGAATGAGGGATGGTTTCCAGAGGTCTGTAAACCCAAAGAAAGTGTATTCTAGAGAAATGTAGGATCATAGTTTATTCCCTTGTTCATTCATTCATTCCATGGCTATTTTTTGAACACCTATGTGCTGGGTAGTAGGTGAGATTTAGAGATACATGAATCAAAATGATCCCGCTCTTGGGTTCTCAAAGATTTTTGAGAAGAATGATTTCTGAAGAGATAGTTATAATCCAAATGCTAGCCAGTAGCCTTTCACTTCCTTGGAAAGTCTACATTGACCTCTAAAACAGAAAAGCAAAGGCGTACATCCTGGGCCCTCTGCTATACTTCGAGGCAAAGACTGTTGCTTTGCCTATAGGAATTGACACAGTGGTTCGGTTTTCCTAACTTTTGATATCCATCCACGTTAATTTTCCTGGTGTATTAGATGCAACACTAGGGTAGGATTTTCAGCTAAATGCATCGTGCTCTGCTAAATCAAATGCTGTTTAGATGGTTCTGAGAGTTATTCTGTATCTCTACCCAAAGTTTCCTTTGTAATTATAGAGGATGCATGGTTAGGTCAAGCAAATGTTATCCAGATACTAGTGTAAACATTTGAAATTCTCTGTATCTCTTGTTTGCCTCCTCATTGGCTTCCATAAGCCAGTAGGTGGCACTGATACCTTGGCTTTGTACTTGATCTGCTCAACCACCTTAGATCTAATTATCACTTGGAAGTGCCCCATGTCTGACATTTCAAGTAACCCTTCCAACACACCCTTCTAATGATACACTATGACTCTAACTCATTCCACTTGATCATTCTTTTCTTTATCTTTCCAGTTACCTCTTGCATTCCTTACTGGAGCTAGGCCAAAACTTCCCAAGACCCAATTTCCAGAGTCCCCAATTCTGTCTCAGAAGGTGACCTCACTTCCTAATTTGCTGATAAGATACTGAGTTTCTCCAGCATTCTTTCTCTCAATGGAAAATCCCTCCCCATCTTTTCCTTGATATTTCACTTGTCTCTTCTCTTCGTGGGAGGTATGTACATTCCTCCTACCCATTGTTGGCTGTCCACCTAATGCTCTGGAACTTTCCCCAGGATGGTTCTCCACCAGCCTCTTTGCCTTCAATCATTTCTTCACATCTCCCATCATCCTCTGATCTACAGAAGTTCTCCTTAATCTAAGACCTTCCCAAGCTCTTTCCTTCCCTGATGACTGACTCTTAAAACATGGTTTCCTTCCTACCATTTGGACCCCAAATGGAAAAAAACCCTCATAACCTTGAAGCTTACATAAGTGAGTCAGCATTGGACAGCCTAGCTGTGCACCTCTCTCAAGCCTGCATGCCTCCTAACTTTAGAGCGAGTGCTGGCATTAGAACAGATGAGAATAGAGGGACCTGCCCCGATTTTCATAATTATGTAGATGTCCAATTAGTTACAGAAACAACTGGCCCTAACCCCAGCCCTTGCAGACACAAGTTTCCCACTGCTCATTTCAAAGCAAAAAAAAAAAAAAAAAAAAAAAAAAATTTCCAACAAAGGACTTAATTTGCTTTTTTTTTTTTTTTTTTTTTTTGGGTTGTTGGAGCAGCAAATTCTTGTCATCTGTCTTCATTGCACAATGAAACTAAATGTTTATGACAGGCGTGATATACAAAATTCTTGGGAAAAAAATCACTTGTAAGCACAGACTTCAGGGGCCAATATTTTGTTCTCCACCTCATCCTACAAGCTCTTCCTTCTGGTGTCTTCATCTATTATTCAGTCCAAATTATCTTTCTACTGTGATCAAAAAAATTCCATTCCCCTTTTAGTTCCTTTCTCATCTCAGCCTATAATAGTTCAGGGGACATGGAGGAAGGAGTGTCTCTTGGGGACAGGCGATGCCTTGAAAGTTGAAGACACAGCTTAACAATACTTGTCCATTGAAAAATTTACAAGAGGGGCACCTGGGTGGCTCAGTGGGTTAAGCGTCCAACTTCGACTCAGGTCATGGTCTCATGGTCTGTGGGTTCGAGCCCCACGTTGGGCTCTGTGTTGACAACTCAGGGCCTGGAGCTGCTTCAGATTCTGTGTCTCTCTCATCCTCTGCCCCTCCCCTGCTCACTCTGTCTCTGTCTCTCAAAAATGAATAAACGTTAAAAAAATTAAAAAAGAAGAAACATTTACAAGAAAGTGGCTTGCTCTGCTTTTCTACCTCTTGATAACATTGCACAGTATGTTTGTGTTAACAAATCTAACTTATAAGTAAACTTTATGAAATCATCCAGAATAGGTAAGCATTTAGTACATCATCTGCAGTTACCAAACATGATGGACACTCACATAATAAAAATTTTTAGGCATACATGGCCAGGAGACCTTCATTCCTTCTACAGAAGGGCCATGCTTTCTTTCGTACTTTGTAATAGCCTTTATGGATTGGAGCCAAATTTGTTGTGGCATTTTGGCAAATAGACGCTATATACATAAAAATACTAAATAAATTAATAAACATGCGAGTAGATAACAATGTGAGCGTAAAACAACTTTTTAGCAAGGGTGATTGTAGGAGAAGATGGGAAGAACATTTGATGAGAAAATTAGCCATTTGGTTTGCGTCTGGTTATTTTGGTCAGCAGCCTTGGGATACTGAATTATCTGGAGGCTTCTGTGTGTGTGCTTTGTCACTAGATGCCAGGAATCACGGAGTGTGACTTTCCTGAATGACTCCGCAGCCACAAACACTAATCAAGTAACACTATTTCTCATTTGTAGCAACATGGATGGACCTTGAGGGTGTTATGCTGAGCGAAATAAGTCAGGCAGAGAAGGACAGATACCATATGTTTGCACATACAGGTGGATTGGGAGGAACTTAACAGAGGACCATGGGGGAGAAGAAGGGGAAAAATAGTGGGGGAGAGGGAGGGAGGCAAACCATGAGAGACTCTTGAATGCTGAGAACAAACTGAGGGCTGATGGGGGTGGGGGGGAGGGGAAGGGGGTGATGGGCATGGGGGAGGGCACTTGTTGGGATGAGCACT